GCTTATAGTATTCCTTGATTGAAACTTGTTACATGTATATACAACAATTATGCTTTAGTGTTGATTACAATTTTGGATTTGTATGAGTTATATAAATTAGTCATAGTCCTAATATATTGCTTTGAATCTATTAACCGAAGTAGAATTGGCTAACTAATTGTTATCCAAAAGAAATTGGTTGGAAGTGGTGACTTGTCTCACACACGTACGGTTGTTGAAGGTATCATCACAAGGATTCAGAACTTGAGCCAGAATAACCAACAAGGCTGAGTTGAGTGAGTTCTTTACGCAACAACACCAAGAACCCCAAGTGATGTAGCAAACTGTGTCTCTACTTAATTGGTGGCTTCAATCAAAAGTACTAGAGAGACAGAGAATTGAAAACGCCAAGAATTTTCTTTGCGTTTCCTTGAGGCTATTGATGAAATCGCAAGCCAAGGGGGCATGGTCCCATTAATTAGGCCATATTCTTTGCGTTTTTCATCTTTGGACCACGTACCCAACTTCTCTCCCAAGGAAAATTATTAATATTTTGGTAAGAGATGCTATGGTAGGATTTTTGTTTTGTATAGATCACATGTATATATGTTTTATTAGAGACCACGAGTAACAAATTTTCTTTAAAAATATTTAACATAAGTACATAATTAGAATTTGAATTTAAAATTACTAATTAAATTGAAACAATTTCATATTAATTGATGTGTGTCCTTGTAGGTAGATGTTATATGGTAGGTTTGCAACATGTGGAAAAATATGGTATAAAATATTGGAGGAAAACTTCTAGTCAAGATTGGTTGGGGACTTAATTAACTTTTGTGGTGTGTGAATGAGGTCGAGGGTGGTGAAGGTCTACAAATACCATTTGTTTGAATTGAACTCACCAAAATAAAACAAAGGGCGGTTCTTAACTAACCCTCTAGTGTGGATCAATAATTATCAAGACTTGAAGGAGGCAAAGCTACTAGAAAAGAGACAAGTTTAGTGTTGGTTCAAAGTTCAATTCTTTAACTAATACCTAATAAAGTATTGTTAGTAAGTCAATGAATATGGCACTAACCAATGTGCATGCAATTTGTCTAATGTAATGCATCATGCATGTTGTCACTATCGAATTTGTTTAGACACCTAATTCAGCATAGCAAATTATTCATGTTTGAAAATATAATCTCACGGCCACTCCATTATCTCCAATAATATGCTGGTGATTATATTTGCTTTTATCATACTTCAATTTACAAGTAACCTAAATTAATGTGTTAGAAGACTATGGATTGGATGAAAAGCTATGAAGTTGGTGGTAGGTGCCCCCATTTACATGAGAAAATTAAAGTACGGTTGTGAAGCCTTTGTCTGTGTTTTTCTTTTTTGTGTGTGTTTGTATGTGTTTCATTATCTACAGGACATAGGGGCTTCCTTAATTTGTTTCAGTTTTATGTCGGGCACAATTTGTCTCACTTGTCAACTTTACCAATCACAAGTTTCTAAAAGGAAAAAAAAGTATATAAACCACGAAACAGAACAGATATAGTAAACGGGGAAAGTTTAGGATGCTTTGAATTGGGATAAGTTTTAATTTTAAACCTTAGTTGTATTTTGATAGTGAAAGATATAATTTTATATATGAAATGAAGACTTGATTATGTAAGAATTCGATGGATAATAACAGGCAACTACGACGTCAAATATCGTTTTCAATGGATATGTTATGATATATATTGAATTATTGGAATTTATGTTAAGAATGGTTATGGGGAAAACAGAACATTAGATATCCTTTTCACATCATGATTAGGATAAATAAATAAATAAAGATATTCGCTTTTATATTTCGTGAATATATATAAAAGGGAGATTTATTAAAATTTCCTAATTTTTCAGCATACGTTTCATTTAATTTTATTTCATGATATCTACTTACGACCTACAAATGCCATCTCAATTGTTTTCATTTCGTTGACGTATGACGCTTGTGGTCCTCATTATATATATATATATATATATATATAATAAAGAATTAATTTATTTTAAAAGTAAATTTACTTAGATTTATTTTTTATTTAATAACATATTTTATATTAAATTTTAATATTTCAACTATTAAATTAAAAAATTTTAATATATAGATGAAGTTTATAATTTTTTTTAAATTAAAAATTATTTAATAACTCATTTCATTAATTCAAATCAACTTATATAATATTTTTTTATGATTATTTGTTAATTTGAATTAATGAAAAAGAATATTAAATAATTTTTAAAAGTTTAAAAAATTTATAAATTTGATCTATACATTAAAAACTTTTATTGAGTAAAATAAGTTTAAATAAATTTACTTTTAAAGTTAGTAAATCATTTCTTTCTCTCTTTTTTTATATATTTTTGTCTATAGATATGATTCACACGGTTTCAAAATTTACAATAAAAAACTAATTTGCACTGTTAATCAAGCATTATTTTATAAGAATCGAACATGAGAGTACCAAGTCAACCTTGTGTCCTAGGAAGTATCTCCCTATATATATAATCTAACATATCTATCCACTCATAAAGGGAAACATCATTCATCTTCTAGGACTAAAAAAATAACTTTAGAAAAGTAATTTTTTAGCACATAATTAACTTCCATAGACATGAATTAGAATTAATCTCATGATCAATTTAAAATGGATTAGCCTATAAATACTTGGTGGTCTCAATAAAAAAAAATTAAAAGAATATATGTATCAACGTTTTTGGCGTTATACATTGAGGGATAAAGTGTATTTGAAAGTTTGAAGATTCAATGTTAGAAACCAATGTTCATGAATCACAACCTCACGTTTCAATTTAAAAACCAATGGATAAGACTTGTAAAGCCTTCTAGATGTCCTCTGACCTTAAATATTGTGGGGCTGAGACCTAAAAGTTTCTTATCACTATTGATAAGTATTATCTTACAGGAAAAAAATTTCCTTTAGAGAAAAATAATATATGCTACTGAAAAATTTATTAATTATATCGTGTCATGTTGTTTAATGACTTTGATGAAATAGTTTTTATTATAATCAGACTAACTCGTTATATTATTATTAAATCAATGTTATGGTAATTCCCATAATACTATTAATGGATCCAAATTTTGTATTAATTAGTAACATAAGACGTACCTGCAGGATTGTTTAATCTCTCACAATATGTCAAATTGGGAAACATTAATCAAAGACAGAAAAGATCTAACGATCAAAATATGCACACGCGAGTGTAACATCTTGGGACTAAAAAGATGTGCAGATTTTTTTTTTTTGATAAAACAGAGAATATAATACAGTACACGTACGATCATGATTCAAGAAAAACAGAGCATCAGGTAAATTTAATTTAACTCAAAAGTCAAAAGTAAAGAAAAAGAGGGGTGTATGTTACGTGTGTTTTCAGAATGAGGACCAAATTATTTTGATTAAATTTTATAAGAAATATATATATATTTTTAAGAAAAAAAACGATATTTATATTGGCAATGAAAGACTTTCCGACAGCATTTTGGCTTTAGAAAAATGTGAGTGGAATGGTAGTATTGGTGATTGGGATCATCTTTGAAGATAAAAATATACATGTGTTGGTAGAAACGAATCTTTTATGTATTAAAAGTTTCTTAGCCCTTTGTTTTAATGAGAACCATAGTAGATAGAAAATTAAAGGATCACATACTTTATCTAGTAACTATCTCCATCAAGAGAAATGCAAGATATATATGAGTGCCCAAGAAACATGTGTTAAATGGATCACTCCTTAACTATTAACATTTGCATTAATATCATCATCATCAAGTGGCTGAGTACTCTTTTGACAAACGTGGCAATCTCATCTCATCCTCACTCACCGCCCCATCTATGATTTATAGCAGCCTAGGGCCACTAGGGTTGTTTAGTGATGAAATTAAGTAATATATTATATTGAAACTCTCCTTATTGTAATTATAATAAATAAAATTAAAAATTATTTATTTTTAAAACATATAACTAATCAAACTGAGATATTTCTTTTAACAGAGTTTTCTCAAAACATATGATGAAGTTGGTTAGAACTACTTTGGCACATAGGCTATTTGGTAAAGCTATAGAATTTTCAACTATGAGACTCCTACAAATTGTTGGTAAAGCTATATAAATAAAGACATGTAATAAAAAAATGATTTCGGAGAAGGAAAGGAAAACATTGAACAGAGGAATAATTCTACAACATTATATAAAATAAATATGATTAAAAGGTGATATTCCATTAAAAATTGTTAGTAATTATTGAGAAAGTTAATAAATACTTTCATGAAAGAAAAAAAATACTCCAATGATGTCATTCACCAAAAACATTGTTGCATTTTTAAAACTTTAAAATAAAGATCATCTACGGAATAGATTTTGTAGCTACTGATGAAAATATTTCCCAACCAGATAATCATCACTCAATTAGAATGAAAATTACGGTTAAGAAAAACAAATCAATCAACAAATACTCATTAGTATATATTTCAATTTTAAAATTGAAAGATGTTATAATTTAAACCTTTTCATAACCTTTACAAATTTACAACACCATTCACAAAGATGACGGGGCATTTTCACAATCTACTTGTTATAATCTTTGTTTGTTTGTTTGTTTTCATTTTACAGATATGAAGTGAAGTATCAATGGAGGAAAAGGAAACTAGGAAGGTAGCTTTATGCTTGTAGAAAAAAACCTTCGATAAAAATAAGCACTAAGCAGTTTCATATATGTGTTGCTTTTGCATTGGCTTCTTGAGCTGCCAAATGTGCAATCGGAAGGGATAAAGCGTCAAGTCATTCACACAGAGACAAGGGGAAAAAATTGGAGAAGTGTTCACTATTTATGATTTTTTATTTATTTTTATTTTTTGTAGTGGGCCCAAAAATCACCAAATCCTTAGTTTTCGGCTTTTTATATGAAAATTCAGTGTTACAGCTCAAGACTTAGGAAGAGTGATCAACCAGAATTCAAAATCTTATTTCTTTTAGTTCCGTGCGAAGGATGAGGAGAAGGGTCCCATTCTTCCCTCCTTTTCTTTCCTTCTCCAAATCTATATAAAGAAGCAGCATTTGCATCAACGTTTACCTCAAAACCACACACCTCACCTTGTCTCAAAAGACTAAACGCATATAAAAGAAGGCATTGTCCACAAACCAAACACAAGCTAGTTCTATTTTTTTCTAGCTTTAAATGAGTGAACAAGAGTGAAGGAAGAAAAGAAGCACACCATTGTTAGTTTGAGAAACATAGCAAGAGAGTTCAATGGGGAAGAGAGAGTTTCATGGGGTGGCGTTGATGCTGTTGTTTTTGTGGGTTTGTGGCGTCACTGCCTCTGTGACTTATGACCACAGAGCCATTATAGTTGATGGCAAGAGAAGAATTTTGATCTCTGGCTCCATTCACTACCCGGGAAGCACACCTCAAGTACTCACTCCACTCCAAATTTCCATCATGCTGCATCAAATTTTGATTTTTTTATTAACTTTTTTTGTTGCATTTGTTTTGGTTTTTCATCCATGCATGGATCGTAAATGATGTTTGTTTACTGCAGATGTGGCCAGACCTTATTCAAAAGGCCAAAGATGGAGGCCTTGATGTTATCCAGACTTATGTGTTCTGGAATGGACATGAACCTTCTCCTGGAAAAGTAATGCAAATACATTTCAATAATTTTTATTTTTATTTTTATGGCTTTTACCTATTCTGGTGAATGGTTCGGGTCTAACACGAGGGTCTATTAGTATTCTGTATGTTGGTGAACCGTGGTTCTAATTTTCGTTGAGAGAGTTCATAGTTAGTGTTTGATTGGAATAAGATTGTCCTTTTAAGGAAAATGCTCGCGGAAAAAATTTCTATTCTTTCTTGTTTTTACTGATAAAAGGTTAAAGGTGGAAGTTTCTCATTGAGGTTTTATATAATGTTGGAAATTTTCAGTACTATTTCGAAGATAGGTATGACTTGGTTAAGTTCGTGAAGCTAGTGCAGCAAGCAGGACTTTATGTTCATCTCCGTATTGGTCCTTACATATGTGCTGAATGGAACTTGGGGTAATGATTTTAATGATGTTAATGTCCACCTTCTTATTGGAAGGGGAAAATTCTTTGGTTAAGAAAAGGAGAATAATGATTCTTAGGAATGACTCAAAGGTCACATGCTCTGTTTTTTGTTCAGGGGATTTCCTGTTTGGCTCAAGTATGTTCCAGGCATTGCTTTCAGAACCGACAACGAGCCTTTTAAGGTTTGAATTTTCATTTTGGACCCTCACTAATTCTTATAATTTACTTGTTATTATTGGTTGCTTAAAAATAGTATAATGAATTGTAGAATTGAATAACATCAAATTTTTTGTCACGATGTGTGTAGGCGGCAATGCAAAAATTCACAGCTAAGATTGTTAGCTTGATGAAAGAAGAGAAGTTGTTTCAATCTCAGGGTGGTCCCATAATTATGTCACAGGTAAATACAACACAATATAATTTATTTATATCATTCATAATTTTAGTTTTGTTGTTAATTTTACTACTATAAAGTTTATTGAGCCAATTAGAATAACAATGATTCTTAATTTAGTCTTTTGATTTTAACAATATATTATACGATTGGATTGACAGATAGAGAACGAATATGGACCAGTGGAATATCAAATTGGTGCACCTGGAAAAGCATATACAAAATGGGCTGCTCAAATGGCTGTTGGTCTAGACACTGGTGTTCCATGGGTTATGTGCAAGCAAGAAGATGCTCCTGATCCTGTTGTAAGTTACTCTTTCTTTTTCCCACACTTGCTAGAAAACGTTATTCTATGTGAATTTGGATTTGGAGATGTCTTTTTCCTCATATGATTCTTATTCTATTTCGTTATATTTGTTTGACCCGTCTAAATATGATGGTGGGGTTTATAACAGTGTTTTGGTTACATTGGTTGGGATAAGGTTGTTGCTTTTACTATAACATGATATTTTTGTTGTTTTATCATATGCCCGTATGACTTTTGTTTTTTTTTTCTTCTGTGTTTGTTTTGCCTTTATTTGGAGCAAGGTGCTTTGGCTTATCACAACAGTTTTATTATCTATTTTCACTTTCTACTACTTCTTTTGGTTGTTCTATAATAGGAGTGATTGATGTGTTTCTGTCTTTACTCTTTTTGAAAATGAAAATCGGAGAAAGTGCCAATATTTGGTATTTTATGAGGGAAACCTTGTGTTTTCACTAGCAAATTGATTCCTTTCTCTTGTATCCTTCTGTTTGATCCATTTTCTCTCTAATCTATGTTATTTTACTTATTGTGATATAGATTGACACCTGCAATGGGTATTACTGTGAAAACTACAAGCCCAACAACAACAAAAAACCCAAAATGTGGACTGAGAATTGGACTGGTTGGTGAGTCACTAAATCTTAACAAATGTTACCTTGTAGGGTGAAAATGTTTTTATTTTGGTCCTATATTTAGTTTCATGTCTCCGCTTCTGCAGGTACACTGAGTTCGGTGGTGCAATCCCTCTTAGACCAGCAGAAGACTTGGCATTCTCAGTTGCGAGATTCATTCAAAATGGTGGTTCATTTGTTAACTACTATATGGTATGTTAGTTTATCCAATGTGAATAGTTCCTAGTTCATAAATAATGTGCTACATTCTATTCATGTTCAAGAAACTTCGGTTAGTCTAATATCTCATTTTATAATCCAGTACCATGGAGGAACTAACTTTGGTCGGACATCTAGTGGCCTCTTCATTGCCACTAGCTATGACTATGACGCGCCTCTTGATGAATACGGTATGTAGTCATGATTAATTGCTTAAATGCTTTGGATCATGATGATAATAACACATGTATAATGATCTTGGAAACATAAGGAAACTTAGGCTAAAGTGATATCAGAAAGGGGAAATGATAGTTTTATTGTCCCAGTAAAGTGCATAAATTCACTTTTAGGCAACACATAGGTTAAGTTTAATTTTTTGTTCACATTAGTATGAATCTTGTTCAACTGTACCACTTTTCCAGGACTTCAAAATGAACCAAAGTGGGGTCATTTGAGAGATTTGCATAAAGCAATAAAACAATGTGAGCCTGCTTTAGTTTCTGGAGATCCTAAAGTGACATCACTTGGATATAACCTTGAGGTAAAGTCCTTAAGCTTGTTTGTGATGAATACCAACAACAGTACTTGTGTTGAAAATTTATTTGATTTCTTTTGTTAATATAATCTTAGGCACATGTGTTCTCCACCTCTGGTGCTTGTGCTGCATTCATCGCAAATTATGACACCAAATCTTCGGCAAAAGCTACATTTGGAAATGGACAATATGATCTACCACCTTGGTCTATTAGTATTCTTCCTGATTGCAAAACTGTTGTTTTCAACACAGCAAAGGTAACACAAGACTTCTGACTATATATAAGTTTTGCTTTTGCTTATGTTGGGATTTCGCATCATCTAAATATATAACCAATGTAGCCTTTATAAAGTCTAGGTAGTACTTACCTTACAAGATGATTTTGTAAGGTTGAGTTAAATCCTAAGCCTAAATTTTAAGATGATATCCTATATGTCTATTCCTAAGCATGATGGGATGTTATTATTGGGCCACCTACATTTGTCCATGCTCCATATGTCCACACTTAGACATGAGGGCGAGTCTTGAAATCTCACATCCATTAGAAATATAGTCAATGTAGTACTTAGGCACCGAGCTTTAATTCAAAAAGATTATAAACATATATGTTGTGAAATTATTTATGGAGAAATCAATCTATCAATTTGATATATTTCTATGAAAAACTTGAAAGTTTCACTCAAGTTATTCTTGAAGTATAGATGAAGATTATAGTGTTTTTGAGTAGAGTTCCTTTTAACTTACTATATTAATGTTTTTGAAGTGTGTCTGTTCACAAAATTTACCAATTTTATGAAGGTTGGTGTCGACAATTGGTTGAAAAAGATGACTCCTGTAAACAACGCATTTGCTTGGCAATCATATAATGAAGAACCTGCCTCGTCCAGTCAAGATGATTCCATTGCAGCAGATGCACTTTGGGAGCAGGTCAACGTGACCCGAGATTCTTCGGATTATTTGTGGTACTTGACAGAGTAAGTGTCTTTCAATTTATCAAACTAATTAAAGACAAATTATTGAATGTTAAGCTCTTTATGAATACTAATTTTATCCTTTCCATCTAATCAATATTGATATCCTTTGTTCAGTGTCAACATTGATGCTAATGAAGGTTTTATAAAGAATGGAAAATCTCCTATTCTTACCGTAATGTCAGCAGGCCATGTTCTCCATGTTTTCATTAATGGTCAACTTTCAGGTGAATAACATTGTTATACCTATTTTGCTTAGTGTTTTGTGTAATAAATTTCAACAGTTTTACAAGTTCATCTTCTATATGATTCCAGGAACTGTATATGGCGGATTGGGGAATCCTAAATTAACATTTAGTGACAGTGTGAACTTGAGGGTTGGCAATAACAAGATTTCTTTACTTAGTGTTGCCGTTGGTCTCCCGGTTGGTTATTTCTTTCCTAATGTGTTTTTAATAACATTTTTAATTTGTTGATCAATAATATTTTAAATTATAATAATTTTATTGTTCATTTAATACAGAATGTTGGCTTGCACTTTGAAACATGGAATGCGGGTGTGTTAGGTCCAATCACTTTGAAGGGTTTGAATGAGGGGACACGAGACTTGTCCCAACAGAAATGGTCTTATAAGGTTTGTCTAAAAGAAATGACTATGTACTATTTTGTGCAGATTTTAGTGCAATATGCAAAAGATAATGAACTTTTTCTTTCAAAAAGGAAATGGTAAATATTTAATTTAACATATTTGTATGCTATTGGACAGGTTGGACTAAAAGGTGAAGCCTTGAGCCTACATACTATAAGTGGGAGTAACTCTGTTGAATGGGCACGAGGATCATTAGTGGCTACAAAACAACCTTTAACATGGTACAAGGTTAGTATAAAATGACTACAATGGTTACATTTCTGTCACTATTATAAATGACTCACTTGCATCTTCATGAATTCTACTCATTTCACGTGTTAATGTTATTAGACAACTTTTAGTGCACCTGCGGGAAATGATCCATTGGCTCTAGATATGAATAGCATGGGAAAGGGTGAAGTATGGATAAATGGTCAGAGCATTGGTCGCCATTGGCCTGCATATATAGCACATGGTAGTTGTAATGCTTGTAATTATGCAGGATATTATACTGATAAAAAATGTCGGGCATATTGTGGAAAGCCATCTCAGAGATGGTGAGAATTCATACCACTTGCTTTTTCAACTAAGTAATGTTGTGCTTGAATATCACAAAAACCTTTTTTCTTTGTCATTGGACAGGTATCATGTTCCTCGCTCATGGCTAAACTCAGGAAGTAACTTCTTGGTTGTGTTAGAAGAGTGGGGAGGTGACCCTAATGGAATTGCTTTGGTGAAAAGAACATGATATGTGATATTATGATGCTCTATTAAAAGGGTATTCCAACTATTCCATTTTCTTTAGTGTTGTCCTCATTTGCTAGCTTTGTTCTAAGACACTTCTAATAAAATCCTTTGGTAGAATTTATGTTATTGATTCATGAAGAATATTTAACTTGGTTTTTCTTAAGGCCTTTTATAACTTAGTAACTCTAGATTATTTTAAGAATCCAATCTATCCTAATTATTAATACTTTTGATTTTCATGTTATCCATACCTCTTCTTTCATAATTTTTATATCTCCTTAACTACTATGATTTATGATAACATATTCAAATGAATAGATATAGACCATTTGAATTTGAATTTGAATTCTTTATCATTTTCTTCTACTTATTATCCTTGTGGTCTTTTTTGCAGAGCAACATTGGAAAGCAATACATATCCTTATAATTAATGTCTTGGAATCCAAAGAAGCTCTAAAATCTCAATTGAGTCCTATGCAGTTAGGACCATGTGATGCAATAAATAATAAGTGTGGTTAAGATCTTATTAGGTTCAATATAGAAAATATTTAAAGTTCAACATTGATACTTTGTCTTTTGGTTGCTCAAGTTTTCCCTAAAAGAATGCCAGCCTAGCCAAAAGCAAAAATGTATATAAGAGAAATTGGATGCAAAGACTGTGTACTGTACATAGTCAAGCTGTTGTGCTGAATATTGCTCCAATTATTACATACAGGGCTTGTATCAATGAAGATCAAGTCCTTACACATTAAAGTTACTATACAAAGGAGAGAATTGTACACTCAAAATGTGTCAGACTTCTACGACATTCTACCAAAAGTTATTGTGTTTTTCCATTAAAATTATTATGTAAGAACATATTGAAAGTAATAAAAGTTGTTTTGGAATTGATCTTATTGGAATATGAGTTTACTATTAATCTTTTGGATTTCTGCAATTTGCTATCTTGTGAGTTAGATAAGGATACTTACAAAGACACTTTAATGCCTAAATTAGAGGTATTCAAACAATGTAAGTAATAATGTACTGAGTATTTAAAAATACCTAATGATTCAAAAAGGATTCAATTAATATATAGAATGAGAATATGCTATTATTCATTTAAGAGTAGATTAAACATATATAAATATCCTTTAAAGCTCTTTAATAACTAATGAATAATAGTAATATTTTTGTAAAACTCTTTTAAAAGTAGCCAAAAAATTATTGGAATATGATCTACCAAAAAAATTTATTAGAATATGCACCTTACCGATTATCTAGATACTACTCGGTCGAGGTAGGATTGTCTCGTAGTTAAGTATTTGAGTCTTATTTGATACATAAGCCCCCAAGTATTTAATTTTAATGAGAAGACTTTAAATTGGGTCGAGTATATACTCGGATAATCAACATTTGAAGTAAACTTTAATTCACATTTAATTTGTCACTTTCAAGATTTTAATAGCACTCACCTGATAGAAAAGAAATGTCGTGTTATTTAAAGTTCTCGCTATTCGGAAATGAAGAGCCATGACTTCATAACCTTATATCTCTAAGTGATTTGGCGGTTCTGAAGTGGTGTGACCTTTGGGCTTTTTGGGTTTTTAGGCTTATAAGAGCATCTGCAATGGAGTTGCTTATAAGCAACTCCTGTGCCACATCACTGCTAAATCAACTCTGGCTCACTTTATGGGTTGCTTAAATTTTAGCAGAATTGCTTGTAGAAACAACTCTGCTAAAATTTAAGCAATCCATAAACACTACAACACAAATAGTATTTAGCAACATTTAAAAAATGTTACTTAATTATGTATAAATGTTGCTAATTTGTTTTAGCAACATATTATGAAATGTTGTATATAGTCCATGTTGCTAAAGATTTTTAGTAACATTTTTGCATAATTAGATAACATTTTTTAAATGTTATTAAAGTAGTATTTTTGTAATATTTTAATAATTTTTTTTAACATTTTAATGATGTTGCCAAGATTTTTTTAATCTTATAAAATAATAATTAATTTTAATTTAAATATTACTATTAACTATTATATTTCTATGTCTCCTAAACTTCTAGGAATTCTTTAAGTTTTTAGGGAAAGACATTTTTAGTTAGTTACCACTAATTGTATATAGAATATCAAATTTCATTTATCTTAAATATAACTATATGAGTATATATACTCTTTATAAGTCATTAATCTATTCGATGTGAGACTTTAATTATGGGTTACAATTAGATATAAGAGAAATATATTTTTTTTTACTCGATGTGGAACTTTGATTTTAGAAGCAATTATAGTAACATTTTTCAAAAAAATGTTGCAAAATAACTTATGTAAATTTTTTTTATTCGATATGGGACTTTGATTTTGAAAACAATTGGAAAGAATAATATTGAAATACAAAATATTACTCTATCTATAATGACATTTTTTAAAAAAATGTTACAAAATAACATATTTATATAATATATAGTAACATTTTAATAAATGTAAACAAAAAAATGTTGCTAAAGGATTAAAATCTAGTAGTGAAAGTGGGTCAGAGTTGATTTGGCAGTGATGTGGCACAGGGGGTTGCTTATAAGCAACTCTCATTAGAGATGCTCTAAAAAAGGCACTTGATTAACCTTTTGAGGAAAACACCCAATTCACTAGAAATCTCTTCATTCTTCGGGTATCTAAGTAGTTGAGAATCTTTTCCTCAATCTATCTTAACTTATTGAGTACTTATCAGTAATCTCTTTTATCATGAGTTCAAAAAGTTTATATGAATTTAGTAGTTCTAATTTTATGGGAAAAGTTGCTTTGAAGCATTACCATATAGGTGAGTCTTTTTCTAAAGATACCTTTTCTACCCCTTCATCTCCTACCCCTATCCATATAGTAATGCCAAGTAAGGCTCCAACTTCTCAACCTACACATGAAGCAAATGTTATATCTTCTAAACCACCAACAAAAAATACAACCATGACTTCTAGGCTGACCTAAGAAATTGTGGCAGAGATGTCTTAACCTACTCTAGATATAGTTGAAGAGTTGTTTCTCCTGATAACCAAAAATTTGGGAATGATGACCCAAATGAACGATGTTGATAACCAAGGTTGGTAAAAGAAGAAGTTTTGGACTACTTATCCAAATAAATAAATAAATAAATATATATATATATATATATATATATATA